ATCTCTGCCTTAAGTGGCAGATGTGACTTCTGGCTTCCCTCAAGATGTGGAAGTCCGTCCTATAAATAGGACTTAGAGGTGCAGAGAACATATAACATTTCATGCAATCTGATACTCTCAAAGGCTCACGCATCATATCATAGTTCTCGGTTCTCGATTTCATTCTTGTTCGACTGGACTCTGAAGGCTGGTGTGCTACAGCTTCCGAGTGTTAAAGCCGTTGTATCTTTGGGGACATTACGCACTGACTCGTCAGCACTACACGGGGCGTATTTGTCTTGCGGATAGATTTCAATCGCCTCGGCTCAAATCTCTCCGCGTTCGAGTTGTAATTTAATTTTTTGTTTTAGTTCTTTTGTACGAACTGAACACTTCAATCAGTTCATAGGTTCCCGTTGTAATTTAAACACACCTTGTGTAACACAAAATACCATAACAATAGGCTGCTGGTTCCCCCAGTTCAACTAACCGACCAATGCTGCACTTTTAATCACTTGTTAAAAAAAATGTAATATAAAAAATAACAGTAAGCATTAAGGATTGGGTAATTGATTTAACCAAAAACCAAGATGAACCCGAGTCAGTGAAGACAGGTTAGGTATTAGTTAACACAAATTGCTAAGCACGAGTAGAAAAAATGCAGGCAAAGGGCTTCGGTTGGTCGGACGAGCACACTGAACTGGCTCACAAGTCAATTATAATATAAGCAAGGACAGGGTACACATAATCAAAAATAAGTCGATGCCTTCAGCAAAAAAGAGGAAAAATCCACAATAATCTCTTCAAAATGATTAACAAAATACAGTGCAGCTAACAAGTCTACAGATAATTTCGATTTCACTCTGAAAACAAAGCCAATAAAGAACAACGAGGCTTCACTTCTTCTTTTCGCCACCTCCAGCAGCCCTGCAAATACCATCGACAAATTCAGTTCGTGCGTAAAATACGACAAAAAAATAATAAAAATCCGTCGAATTCAGTGTCAACTGAGTAAAAGGCATTATCGGCATCCATATATGAGGATCACTTCAATAAAATTACCTCATCTTGCGAAGAGCACCAGCCATCTCCTCTCTCTTCTTTTTTGCCCTCTTGTGGGTGCCCAATTTTCTCTTGGCAACCTTGAGGGCACGCTTGTCCTTTCCAACTTTAAGAAGCTCGGTTATTCTCTTCTCATAAGGAGCAAACCCAGCAACTTCTCTAATGAGACTCCTCGCAAAATGCACCCTCTTGCTTGTTTTCTTTATTATCCAAACGAAAAAAGCAAAGTACCACAAAAGAAAGGATCAGGATCATATAAATTACAAGTGGCAAACAAATCCCAAATTTTCTGGATTGAGGCACATTTAGATCTGCACAATTTATTTAATAAAAGAAACAATGATACTCAAACGTTCATACAAATAAAGAGCTTACAAAAGAACGTGTCCACTACAATCTAGAGGACAAATACATATAATTCCACTTTTAATGCAACAGTTTGAACTTAAGAATGCATAAAATGAGGTGGCCAAACAATGCATATATTCAATATATAAAACATCCTTATGTTCAGCTTCGATAACCCAAAATGAGAATGGTGTGAACGCTAAGCTGAATAAACTTACAAAAATTGTTAGAATGTTAAACGAGCTTGAACAACTATTTTTAGCAATTGAATACAATGGTCAACAACATTGTTAAACCAACGAGCATTTATGTGACAAAACTTACCCCTTTCCTATCCGAGGGGCGGGGGGCTAATTCCTTGGGGGTAACAACATGGCCCTTCTTCAAACCCACAAATAGACCACTGTTTGGCTGCTTCGGAGCCATTGCCTATATAACGGGAAAAAAAAAAAAAACGTTTAGTGATCAAACTTTGATAAACCAACAAACCGTTTGACATTTTTAGACACCTTAACAAGTGGGAAGAAACAAACTAATAGTTCCGCAGCACAACTAGTATATTAGAAGATTATAGTTTCTAAGGCCATTCTAAATAAAAAAAAAAAACATTCTCAAATCTAAAAATGAAGAACTATCACATCAAAAATAATTCTTCCTCAACATTTATTATACTCATTCTTAAACTCAAAAGAACATTCTCTCTTTCATATCAAATTTTACAACTTCTCAATACTACACATATTTAAAAACCTTAAAAATTAACCCAAGTCCATTTTCTGGCTAAAATATATATCTTTGCAAGAGCAAGTACATTAATGATACACGCAAATTTTTGGGCTAACCTTTTTTCTTCGATCGGTATGCGGAAGGGGACTGTAGGCGGAAGATGGAAGAACAAAACTAGGGTTTTAAGAGTGGCACTTTTATGTAAAAAAATTTTAACACTGCGGGTGTGATTGGAATATTGAGAAATAAAGAAGGTCAAAATTTAGTTTCTTCTTTCCTTTGTGTAAATTTAGGGCTGCATTGAACTAGCTGGGCCATTTAGTGGACCCGTTTGGGCTTAGACCTGGGCCTGATTTCAGTTACAAACTTTTAGATGAATAAAATAAAGAGAAATTTGCATCTATGCTACAATATTTAGATTTATTTACAATTTGACAGGTACTATAAATTTAATTACATATGTAGCTAATCTATTGAATTAATTGGATATTTGCTTGATTTCAGTTACCATACAAAAAAAATTGACTCATAAGAGAGAGAAATGAAAATAAATAACTTACTCATTTAATTCCTTTATTCGCGCAACTGGATTTTCTTTAATTCACGTAGCTGTCAGGTGGTATATATTACGTTTATGTTAGTATATATTCAGTATATGTGCGCAACTGAAATCTCTTAATTCACGCACTTGTCAGGTGGTATATATTGCGTTTATTTTAGTATATTTTCAGTATATGTATGAAAAAAATGTCTTCCATAAAAAAATTATATATTCCTCTTTTTTTTTTCTTTTTTTCTTTTTCTTTTATACATAAAAGTATATATATAGTTTAAAACATATTATAATAGATTTCTTCATATAAAATCATACATATACACAACACCAACAAAAAAATTCAGTTTGTGCTAAATATAAGTAGATTTTATACATAAAAATTATGTCTCGCAATAAATTTTTCTATCATATACTAAAAATATACTGAATATAAACCATACATATACAAAAAAAAAAAAAAAAATCAGTTTATGCTTTATCAATATAAACCATACAAACATATAAGGCAGCCCTTATATTATACATAACATATACTCCATATATACACAACATATACCCACAACTTATACAAAATTAAAACTATCTATCTACGAATCAAGCACATCAAGTGTTCAACAATTATCCTCTGAGAAGTTTTTCATCTAAAACATATACTGCACATACACTGAACTTATACTACATATACACGCAAACCATGCTGGTCGTGCTTCAGCAATACACAAAACGGGAAAGACGACCAATGCCCATCGGTGGCCACCAACTGTAAAAGAATCATTTAGAATGTGCTTTTCGGATTCGACTTCGGTGCACATAGAGAATTTCTCTAGCGTAAACCGGTGGAGACCCTTTGTCGACATTGAGGTTGGGTACTGCTAAACTCTTCCAGGTATATAATTATTTCTATAAATAGGATCAGATTCAGTACAACAAAAATACAATTCAATCCACCAAAATATCTGCAGCACAGACAAAATCCAGATGAGAATCGAGGGTTTTTTCTCTTCCCTGATGCCATAGAAACATGAATTTCAAGCACAAAAGTCTGATTGATGAATCATACATCATGGAATCTAAACTAGGTTTCTCAAGGAATGATCAAGGAAAAAAGAATAAGAAAAAACACTAAGCCATTTCCTTAATAAAATAAACATCAACATACGGGAACTAGGTTTCTCGAGGAGTATTCAAGCATAAAATTTGAGGTTTCAATACGTACAAGCATAAAGCACATGAGAAATTAAGGAATACCGGCAGCAGACGATACGACGGTACACCTGCTACCTCGGTTCAACGTCGAGTCTTTTGTCTATCCTCTTGGGCCCCTTTAAAGATGGGCATTTATCCCCTTTAAAGGATACGGATTTGCCGGAGATCGAACGACAGAGAGAGAGAGATATAGAGAGATTATGTGCTTCGACGACGTGTCGCCGGCGCCGCTTCCTGACCTTAGTCTTCGTGAGAGAGAGAGAGAGAGAGAGAGATTTTATTTCTTTTCGCTAGAGAATTAAATGGGTGAAAGTTGGAACGAGCATCCAATCGGGCTATATCTTTGGAAAATTATTGTACTTTCAATAGGGCAATCTTCTCTATAATTAACAAAATTAAAAATCTGGTATATGTGCAAATAAGTATTCAGAATTTAGTAGAGTTGCAAATAAATATTTATTGAGTGAATAGATGTAATATAAAGTGTATTGAATGGTATGTGGTGTAAATTCATCTAAAATAAATGACACCCCTATCTTTATGTTTATGTGATAATTGCACACATTGTTACGATAATGTGCATTCACATGCACTTTAAGTGCATTTGTTTCATAGCAGTTTTTTCTTCTCCAAGGTAAGAGAGTTCGTCTTCTCCATTGAGAGTTTCTTCTCCTGGGGGAGGTTCTTCTTCGGGTTCGGAGAGTAGGTGGTGTGAAGGGAGGAGAGGTCCTGATTTCTTATGGAGGACGAATTAGGGCAAAAGCTGGAGAATGTGTCGATTGCGGAAGCAGAAACCCTAGTTATTGACATCGATCCTAAAGATGTCAGCATCAGTGCGGAAGAATGCGGCCGCAGCTTGTTTGGGAAAGTCCATGGAGATAGAAAGGCTAATTGGTTGGGGATGCAACGAACAATGGGAATGTTATGGAAATTGCGTAATTCTCTGGATGTTAGAGAGTTATCATCCAACTACTTCCAATTCATTTTCCCAAATTGAGAAGCCCTCTTGCAGATCGACTTAGGCAGGAGCTGGATGTTTGAAAATCAGCACTTGATCTTGTCAGAATGGATGGAGGGACTGTCCTGTTGCCATGACAAATTTGGAGAACTTCTGGTATGGGCTTAAGTCTATGGGGTGCCCATTAATTGGCTGAGCACAGAGGTTGGGTTGAAGTTAGAAAGATCCTTCAAAGGTGTCCGTAATGTGAATTTGGCTCGTGTTGGGAACATTGGAGGGCGCATTATACGTATTCAGGTCATCCTCGACATGAACCAACCTCTCCCTAGGTGGTCATTCATTAGACTGGGTGAGCAAACAGTCAAGGTCCATTTTAAATATGAAAAGATTGAAAGCCTCTGCTATTACTGCGGCAAATTGGGGCATTTTGATCGTAACTGTAAGAAGCAAGTGGCGGATATTGCAAACCGTGCGATGAAAGCAGGTCAGTATGGTGATTGGATTCGTGCTCCTGGAGGATATGCTCTCACAGGCTCTCCCTTGGCGAGTAATAATAGCGAGCCCTCTTCTTTTGGAAAACACTTTGTGGATAACTTCATCAAGAATCCTCAGAGTACATCCTCTGGAATGAATCAAACAGACCAAGTGCTGAGAACTTCTACTCAACATCAAAATGGGGAACCCAATCCACATCCTCAGTCACAAGGAAAAGAGATTCCATAAAAAAGCCTATGTCTTGTAGAATCCTCCTCATCAGTGCCAGAAGAGACAGAAGAAGATATCATGCTTGTTGTTGCTATTCACAATCCAGTATCTCCAAATGAAGCTGGAAATCATCTGGATCTTATTCCAGAAGGGGATGAGCAAAGGATGGAGATCATGGAGGCAAACACTCAGCCCCTGGGTAAAGGTAAGGAGGTGGTAACCACATCCCCAAAACAAAGGATATCGAGGAGGACATCTGCTAGGGTTGGCTCAAAAGCATCTGGGGTTAAAATTACTAGCTCTCATCATGACTTTCAAGGTGCTAAGAGACCTAGACAACCATATCCAATTATCAAAGAAACTAGGACTTCAACAGGAGAGCAAGCAAGTGTTTTCAAGAAGCAGAAAAAGTCAGTCAAAGAGGTGGAGGTAGCCAGCCCTAATTAGCCCCACAGTGCCCAATGCTAGCCATGGTGTGGAATTTTAGAGAACTGGGAGGGCCCTCTACAATTCCCCAAATTCGAGAGGCAATGCATACTCACTTCCCTCATTTTCTTTTTTTATCTGAAACAAAAAAATCAAAAAAATTTACTATTAAGTTTTGTCATAGGCTTGGTTTTGAGGATAGATTTCAATTTGTTGATCCGGTTGGTACAAAAGGTGGCATGTTATTGTGCTGGGATATGCAGGTTAAGATTCTCCAACTTAGAAGCACTGACTGCTCCATTCAAATTCAGTTTTCTGTGGCCCCTGAAAAGACTCCTTGCTGGCTCATCTTTGTTTACATGAACACTGAGTTTTCTATAAGAGCAGAGCAATGGCAATGTTTGGAGATAGATAGCCATCTGTGGTCAGACTCATGGTGCATGATTGGGGACTGGAATGACATCACCAGAGAGGAGGACAAGAAGGGTGGGAGGCCTAGATCACTCAGAAGCATGATGCCTTTCTTGAATTTTGTTGCTAGCATGGGCATGACTGAACTTCATATGAGTGGGTACCAATTCACATGGTGCAATAACAGAATTGGTGAAGGCATTGTGGAGGAAAAGCTCGATAAAGCCTATGGCTCCCTGGGGTGGCTATCCAAGTACCCTCTCTCTCAAATGTCCAATCTTTTTAGAAGTGCTTCAGACCATAGAATGCTTCTTTTACAATCTGAGGTGGTTGATAGAAAGAGAAAGAGACGGTTTACCTTTGACAAGAGATGGGTGTTGAAGTCGGGGATCAATGACACTGTGAGTAAGGCCTGGAACATCGAGCAGTTGGGCACTCCATTCTTCAAGCTTAAAGAACAAGTCAAAATGACCAGGATTGCTTTATCATCCTGGAGAAAACATTTTGGGTCTGAGAACAAGCAATAGATCAGAGCTCTCACCTTGAAACTGGAAGAAATGAGATCCTTAGGAGATGGCAAGAACTGGGATGAGTGAGAGACTATCAAGAGAGAGCTGGATAATGCACATTGCACTGAGGAGCAGTACTAGCAGCAAAAGTCAAGGACCCAATGGCTGGAAGAGGGGGATCAAAACACTAGATATTTCCATGCGGTCACCATGCAGAGAAGAAAGAAAAATGCTATAACCCGACTAGTTGATGAGCACAACAGAGTTTTTGAAACTTCTGAGGAGCTGGAATCTCATATCTCTGCCTATTATAAGAAGCTCCTCACTTCTGGTGGCTCCTCAAGAGATGACAGAATTCTCAACCTCATTCCACACTCTATTACTCCTGAGATGAATGAAGTCCTAACTGCTGAAGTAGATGATGAGGAAATCAAATCAACTCTGTTTATGATGAATCTCTTAAAAGCCCCAGGGGAGGAAGGTACGACAACTTTATTCTACAACATTTCTGGCCTGTGATTCATAAAGACTTGTGTGGTGCTGTCAAGAGTTTCTTCCTTTCTGGCCTTTTCCTTAAATATTGGAATCATACTATTGTGACATTAATCCCCAAATGTGCCCAGCCTACTTCATTAAACCATTACAGACCCATTAGTCTGTGCACTATGGTTTACAAACTTATCTCTAAAATTCTTGCTTCAAGGCTTAAAACATGTCTTCATGCTTGCATTAGTGATAATTAGGGAGCTTTTATCCCTGGGAGACAGCTCATGAAGGATTCCATTATAATATTATTATAGCTCATGAAGGATTCCATTATCTGAATAGGCACAGATAAGGTAAATACTGTTTTATGGCAGTTAAACTTGATATGATGAAAGCCTACGACCGGGTTGAATGGCATTGCCTGAGATCTTTGATGCTTAAAATGGGGTTTGCTATTTCTTTTGTAAACTGGATCTTGTACTGTGTTATTTCCACTTCTTTTTCCTTTATGCTAAGAGGTGAAGTTGTGGGGTTGATTCATCCTTATAGAGGGTTGAGGCAAAGGGACCCCATTGCCCCTTACCTCTTCCTCATTGTTTTAGAAGCTTTATTTGTCCTAATTAGCTCTGCTGCTGCTGGTGGGATCTTCAGAGGTGTCAGACTATCTAAGAATGGGCCCTTACTTACCCACTTGTTATTTGATGATGATTCTTTAGTGTTCTGTAAGGCAGATATTGGCTAAGCCCTGCCCTTGAAGGATCTGCTTACCACTTATGAAGCTTTTTCAGGCCAAAAAGTGAATTTGTCTAAGTCCACAGTCTTCTTCAGCATAAATATAGATTCCTCTGTCAAAAATGATGTGTGTGCTGTGCTTACTGGTATTTCTGCTCATTCCTCTACCAGATATCTTGGGCTCCCTCTTGGTATTGGTAAGTCCAAAAAAGAAGCTTTTGATTTTGTTGTCCAAACTGTGAGGCAGAGACTGGTCAATTGGAGGAATAGATTCCTCTCTACTGCAGGTACAGAAGTCTTGATCAAGGCTGTGATCAAATCTTTTCCTGTCTTTGCCATGTCCACCTTCAGGCTATCAATTGGAATCTGTAAAGAAATTTCTCAACTCACTGCCCAATTTTGGTGGAGTAAGGGAGACTCTCAG